TCACTTAGATTTTAAGTGTAAGGTAGCTAAAGTTAGGACCACGTATTAGTTGTTTTGGTAGTGTTTAAATATTCGTTCAAAGTGTAATTTAATCATATGGGATGAATGTACGATGGCCCATCGAAAAGGAGTTGAAGCGGTAGACAGAACTTTAAGGGATATAAGACAAAATGATCGACCAATGGGCGGTATCACAGTTTTATTTTGTGGTGATTTCCGACAAACCTTACCGGTAATACCACGGGGTACCCGAGCTGATGAGGTTAGGGCTTGCCTGAAAAGCTCTTATTTGTGGCGTGATATACAATCGGTGCATTTAACTATAAACATGCGAGTGAGAACTGTAGATAACCCGGATGATCGTGAATTTTCTGATATATTATTAAAGTAAATACCTTCACCAAAGATACCTATCCACTGCTACACCAAGGAAAACTTATTCTGACGCCTGAGTTATGTTGTATAGTGCAATCCCAACAACATCTTATATCGTCAATTTACAGTGCCGTAACAAATATATTAAATAAGGACAATTCTTGGCTATGCGAAAGGTCCATTTTAACTCCTCCCAATGACCAGACATCTGAGAATAATAATAAAATACTGTCGAATACCTAGGCGGAAAGCAAAGTTATAGTTCAATAAATAGAATGGCCGATGAATAAGAAGCCACTAATTACCCGATAGAATTTTTAAATTCTTTAAATATGCCCAGACTTCCTTCTCATGAAATTTGTTTAAAAATTGGCATTCCGATTATTCTGCTCCGAAATTTAAGACCACCACAAATTTGCAATGGAACTCGGCTTAAAGTAACCCAGTTGCAACAAAATGTAATCGAGGCTCAAATTTTAACAACAGGTTGCGGTGCAGGAGAAACCATCTTTATTCCCAGAATTCCCATAAAACCAAATAATTTTCCATTCCAATTTAAAAGAACGCAATACCCAGTATCGGTGTGTTATGCAATGACAATAAATAAGGCTCAAGGGCAGACTTTTCGTGTTGCTGGAGTAGATCTCGGTGTCAGTTGTTTTTCACATGGTCAGTTATATGTCGCTCTTTCCCGGGTTAGTAGTCCTAGAAATTTTTATGTTCACGTGCCGGACGGGTCAACTTTCAACTAGTTTACCCGGAAGCTTTGCGCTGAAGTATTTTCATTCTATATGTACTTAAGCCTCATGTGAAAGCGATCTAAACAATAGTATGTACCAATAGATTAACATAATAACATACAAGGAGTTACACGCTGATGGTCTCGGGGCACAGTAATAATAATAATATTCTGCGGTTCCTTATTGCGATATTTTTAACAGTATTTTGGATTGACATATTATATTTCCCTACTAAAATACGAAAGTTAATCTGTCTGTCATATCAAAACCACGGAACCCTGAGGAAGGACATATGCACTTAGCACATTGTAATAAAAAAAAAATATCGTACTTTACAAAATAGATTTGTTTTGATGTTATATAAACAACTTCGATCAGTCTTTGTCTGAATGTTACTACACCCATAGCTATTAAAAATGATTCGTATGTTTTCCAAACCGGTAAAATTAAAAGTCCTTTTTAAAATGAATATATTATACAAAGGTGTCCGTTACAATCTAATGTCTGTAAAATAAAGTATAAATTACGCCAAGAATTACCGTTATATGTCAATATTTTTTGTACATTTAGGCCAATTTGAGGCCTTTAAACATGACTGTGTTCATGTGTAGGTATGCGTATTTCTCTAGACAATTTAAACCAGAACTTTTCTGGAGTCTTTAACGATGTGTTTCTATATTGTCGTATAAAACAATTATGATAATTGTCATATTTATCATGAAATCTTTTAGCAATCATGGTTTAATAATACAAAGGATATTGCTTTTTCCCTATACATTGAATGCCCTAGAACGCACAGCAATGAGAAAATGCTAGTTGTGTTCGGAATCATTACCAAACTCTAATTAGGCATTTGTTGAGATACGGACAACTTGAGGAACCGTGGCCTACAACAGAATGTATTAGATTTGGAGGTTATAATTATCTCTTATCTATTAGACAAGTCCGTCCGTTCGTCCGTCCGTCCGTGGTGCTGTTTCAGCGGCCAAACCGTAAGAGATAGATATAGAGAATGTTTAAGTTATAAGTTAAGAATAGTCTGATAAGACTACAAACCGGATGTGAGTAACGTAGCACTTCCGGTTTTCGAGAAACCACACAAAATCTCCGAAGTTCTCAATTAATTAAATACTTTTTTTTTTTTGTGAACATTTGGTTCACAGGTTTGCTAGTTATACTTAATCGTAAAAGATGTACACTTTATATATATTTTCAATAGATTAAGTGTTTACCTCTATGTAAACACTTAACTAATATGCATTTAATGAACATAAAATGCAATTAATAATAAAAATAATAAATGTTTATATTCATATTGATTTTTGAGTGTTGGCAGTTGGCACCTATGATACCTATACCTTACTTGTTATTATAATAGATTTCTTTTCCAATGAAATTTTCAAAGTCTTTCCATTTACCTGTTTCTATATTTTACTATCGGTAATAAGGTATGTATCTGGTTATAATTATGATTTTCATAAAAATAAACAGATATTATATGGGATGGGAGTATAAACTATCTTTACATAATTTCAGAACTAATCTTTTTAGAAATATATAATATAAATACTAGTGATAAGTTTTATTAATTAAGGTACCTAGTTCTATTCTTATGTTGATAATACCTATGGTCGCCTATATTTGGCACAACTTTTTAACAAAATCACCCATTGAAAAATAAAACAATAACGAAGCCAATAAACTATTAAAATAAATAGTTATTTTAGACTGAAACCTATTCAATCCAGTTATCAGTTGATTTTTAATGCTGTATTTTCAATAAAAAGGAGTGCCAAGATTGTTTACCAAATAGGACAAGTTAGGATGAACAGACTGTAGTATCTAGTAACAGAACTTTTATTTTTAATTTTTTTAAACAGATTGTCCGTTTACTATGATTAATTGCTAATAATTAAAAATAATATAAAAAAAATAATAGTGAAGGAGCTTCTTTTGGGCATGCTAGGGCCGATTTCGTCGATGTCCTTTAGATTCAGGTTATTCCCTACGTGCCTCCGAATGTTTGTTTACAGCTTTGTTGACGTCATAGCATAGATAATCTATAGACTAAAATGGCCGATAGATTTTTCGTCCTAGATAGATACACCTCGTGCGCTCAAAATGTGTCCCAATCAAGAAGTGCTTGATCTCCTTCATACTTCATAGTTCACAGTCACGCGCGGACCTTTGAAAAGTCAAGATGCCGCAGAGCTCCGTGAAAAATGCGAACGAAATAGTAATAGTATGTAAAGTATCCTTTTTTGGACAGGTATCTAATCAATGTTTGTTAACTTAACGCATTTGAAGAAAATTTTGTGGTTATACTTCCTATTAACTGATTTAATAGAAAATATTTGTGATATTCAAATGTATGGTCGGTATTTTAGCCGTTTCTTTTCTTCGCGGTCCGCAACTGCTATTATGCTAACAGTGCATTCAGAATTGCACGTAGAGCCAATGATATAAGGTCTATATTCTTCCGCAAATAGCAATGAGTCGTAAAATTTTACGAGCTTGCAGTTCGAACCGTCATAACTCTTTGACGCATGCGTTTTAATTAAGACCTTACACAGTATACATTAAAGGTGACTTTCAATGTTTAAAAAATGCCTTATATTGTGTTTAACTACGCGATCATCTTACGGTGCTCCGTGGATCGTCCAATGTACCTTTTCGACAGGTTTCGGGCACAATTTTGTTCGTGTTGGTGTATCTAGGGTATGTAATATCGTTGACTTTGGCTGGTCATTGTGGGTGCTAAGGGTGGGGTTCCACTTACCGCGTGCGACGACAGCGAGTGCGGCGAGCAGAGCGGCCGACGTGAATACTGTCATGTTGCGGTCAGACGCTTGAATGACGGTTCGCAACTGATGCGAGGCGCGGCCAACACCGCTTATATATTCGCGAATGCGTGCGCGGTGCCACTGCAAGCGGTGATCGATATCTTTTGGATATACAGACTTAATTATATATTAATTATCGCCCATTTAACATTTACTCAAAGAGTTAACAACTGCGACATACAAAAGCATGATGGATAATCAGTTTTGCAATTTGAGAAAAAGTTTATGATAAGATAACGTTAAGCAATAAACAGTAATGATAAAACACAATGAAATGTATCTATTAAATGAATTAGTGCTTCTATTTATAAATTGGTCGAAACACTTATATTACACTAACTTTAATATAATTTTGGGTTTCATTTGTATTTGCCAATTTTGATATATTGCCCAAAAAGCGCTTCTATTAAATAAATCTATCACATAAGTATTTTTATTGTTATAGTAACTGAAGTAATTGCGGGTAGATGTTATTGGCAGACATATCGGTCTACCCTCTGTCGTCGTCTTTTACTGCGCTCGATACCCCTACCACTGGTCACATTCTCACTATTTACTCGCACTTGTTCCCGACACACAATACTCACAGTATCAGATCGCGGAACGACCCTTTTTTGATTTTGCGGTTTTTACACATACGAACACAATACTCACAATAACCAACCAACAATGTAAACAAACTGCGGAAAAGTTTCAGTTTTCCCAACTAATATGACGAACATATAATATTAAAAACAAAATAACGTGTTGCGTAATCAGTAGGAGAGTCGTTTGCGCTTTCACTTATTGTCATTTTTTTCCGGTTCATAGGCCTTTGATCATACAATTTACTAAAAGACCACCATGTCATCCAGCTAAATGATTGCTGTCTTCTATAAATTTATAATACCACGGGAGCTGCCTTTCCTAGAACTAACAATATTCAAGCTTACAATACAACCAAGACTACCAAATGTGGCGCCGTTGAGGTGCAAGAGTAAACCGCTAGCAAATCAACACAGCACAACTCACCGCTTGCACTAGACCCACACCTCGTACAAGACAGTTCACTCAGAAAGTGTTGAGTATTGTCATGGTATGTTATTAAAAATACATCTTTTAAAATAAATTAACATATTCACTTACGTAACAGAAAAATTACCCTAATTTCATATTTTTATTAATTTTCCATGCGTTCGACATACTTACAAATTACACTTTTAAATACAAAACTAATAATAAAAAGCCAGCCAATTTCGGTTATTAGCCGGCAACAACTAGTAACAATTTATTTGATGATTTTTTTTGATAAATAATTACGATTTTGTGGGGTTATGCAAATCACTTTATCCCACCTGATCTTGAGTGTGAGAAGACCAGTCGCCAAATATCTGATACACAATATGTTTGAACTGTTGTTTGATTAATCATCATCACCAGCCTATTACTGACCCCACTGCTGGGGCACAGGCCTTCCTTATGGATGGAGTATGGATGTATAGCACCTAAACTGCTTTTAATTAATTGATTGTATTCGTGATTGTGAGGTTTATTTTTATATATACCAGGCCACTCAGAACGTTTTTCGAAAAAAGATTTTTTTGTATAAGACAGTGGCCAAGACTTGTAATTATTTTGAAAACTTCGATTATTTAAAAGTAAAAATACCACTGTTCGATTTTCAATTTTCCCTCCGCATTTTTTCGAGAGCCACATAAATTTTTCTTGTCTCGTTAAAAAATGGATCTGCATCGAGAACATTTTCGTGCTATGATTTATTACGATTTTAAATGTAACTTCAAACCTGATGAGTCATTTGATCGATTTCGAACTGCTTTTATGGATCAAGGACCTTCAATAGCAACCATCTACCGCTGGTGTAGCTAGTTCAAACGCGGTCGTCTTACTTTGGGGGATGAACAGAAGAGTGGTCGTCCTACGACAGCTGTCACCAAAGAAAGTGCGCTGGCAGTAAAAAAAAATGGGTGCGTGTACTTATGTAGGCGCGTGAGAAGTTATCCTTCTTTGGCATCGTTTAAAATTAGTTTTTAATTGCATGCAAATAATTAATTACAATAAATTAATAAAAAGTCTGGAAAAGGACACAGTCAATAAAGTTCAGTTTTAATTTGAAAAAATAAATAAATAATCAAAATATTCAATTAAAATCGCTACTGAATATAATTTATTAGAACATATGTGATTTGCACTTGTATGAAACTCAAACACGTATTCCGAATATACAAACTAGAAACATGTGGATAAATATTATAAATATGAAGAATACCTATAACTGTTACTTTATTACAAAAAATAAAGATGTGGCTTTTGGTTCTACTACACCAATGGTCAAGAGATGGCGCTGTAGTCTCCTGAATCGCGCTTTGGTTCCGTTGTTCCAGATTAATAAATACTTTTGATATTATAAATATGAATACCTATAACTGTTACTTTATTACAAAAAATAAAGATGTGGTTTTTGGTTCTACTACACCAATGGTCAAGAGATGGCGCTGAAGTCTCCTGAATCGCGCTTTGGTTCCGTTGTTCCAGATTAATAAATACTTTTGATAGGCCTTCACAATGCAGTCGTTAGCACCCACTAAATAGAGATTCTATTTCTATTTTGTTGGTAGATTTTCTTAATGTGCGGTCGCTTTAGCGACCAACTTCATGCTGTTACTTTTGTGTTACAGTGATGCGCGCGCATCTTAAAATTTCACTCTCATCATTTTTTCATAACGCGCCTAAAGAAGTATAACTTCAAAAATAATTCAAGAAAACAGACGAATTACGTAGGAAGCGATTCAGCATACTCTGCAGATTGGTTTATGAAGCGTTTACAAGATTTTGTACGAGCACCTTTGCGTAAGGAGGATAGTTTCCCACTGGGTGCCGCACAATTCAACGAAGCTCAGAAGCAGTGATATAATACAAAAATTTGATGCAGACGCGTTTACGATATTGTGACAGGTGACGAATCCTGGAGTTATCAATGCAATGTGATCCAAAAACAAAGCGTCAGTTGACAGTTTGGCTGTTTCAAAATGAACCAACGCCTACGAAAGTGAAGCGATCGAGGAGCGCAAGGAAAATGTTGATCGCTAGTTTCTTCACTTTAACGGGGTACCTAATTTCATTAGGGATGATGATTTTTTTTCTTCGTTTATCAGGTAGATTATCAAAAAGTATTAGACACGTATTTTTTCTTTTTTCACATAATATAAACATTGCAGAGATACCTATATTGTTGTACAAATTTCACCTAAAAGTGACGTCACTAGTCCCTACTACCAAACATTGACGTGCTATAACTTTGTCATTTTTTGGTTGATTGCCCAAAGAAAAAATACTTGTCCATTATTTTTTGATCACCAACTGACCGACTAAATATAATTTCGTTTACTGTGTATCCCGTCACCCCTATTTCACTTTGAGACCAAAGCAGCATCAACGCCGTATGGTTTAGCACAAAATGCCTGCCAGAATTTTTTTCTGCAATGAGCAACAAGCGACCTAACACCGGTCTCCGCGGGTTCCTTCTTCACCACGACAACGCGCCCGCGCACTCTGCAATCAAAACGAAGGACGCCCTGGACTCCACACCAGTAGGCTTGTTGAAAATATATCGATGTATCGATATTTTTTGTTCGATATATCGATATTTTTTGCCGATATATTTTGATTCGATATATCGATACATCGATACAAAATAACCAATATCAAAATTCGTATCAAAAACGATATTTTTTAATTATTAGCGGCATATCACGATCTAACTAAATTCGAATCTGGAAAAATCGTAACTGGATCTCAGATTAATGATATTCAACATATCTATGATCTGTGCTGTATTTAGTATTGTCTATGTCCTCATTGGTAAATAGGGTCTATTTTTAGGGAGATAATTTTCGTTCCATTATTATTCCGCGTGTCATATTTCGTGAGCTACTGTACATTTGTGGGAAAATTGGTCCGATATATCGATGTTTTTTTCGCGATATATCGAAGCCGATATTGATATTTTTTAAAATATCGATGTATCGATATATCGATATTTTTTTCAACTTTCGACATCCCTACACACCAGTCAGAGAGTTTAGGGACACCCTCCTTACAGTCCTGATTTCGCTGCGTGTGATTTCTTTTTATTCCCTAAAATAAATATCAGCCCAAAGGGATACAGTTTTCATCGCCGGAAGAAGCGCTAGCAGCGTTTGAGAAGGCCGTGGAAGAGGTGTCTGCGGAGGACTGGAAAAAATCTTTTGAAAATTGGTTCAGACGCACGAAACTTTGTATTCTATACAATGACTGGTGGGGAGTTCTTTGAAAAGATGTTATAAAACAATTTTTTTCACTGAAGTTAGTTTTTTAGTTTCTCAAAACTTTCTGTCTCCCACATATATGTAATAAACATTATTATTACAATTTTATGTCATTTCTTACACGATGTCACGATAAATAAATTATGGGAATAAGATGCGACAAATTGTTAGTATTATCCCTAATAGTCGAGATACTAATTCGTTTGTTGTTTTTTTATTTGTTTTTAATAATTTTGTTAACTACACTATTTTTAAAGGTGTAAGTAAATATATTATCATTCCTAATTTTATTTACGTTTTAGAGGTTAGATCGGGCTATTATCCCTGGTCCCACCATAGTTAAAATAAGTTTTATTAGTTAGACGACTTCCGTGGCCGAGTGGTTTGTACGCCGGGTTTCATGGTGTCGCCTACTCGAGAGGTCCCGGGTTCGAATCCCGGTGGGAGCACATGTTTGTGTGATGAATACGAGCATTTGTACACCAGTCATGGATTTTTAATATGTGTTTCTATGTAAATATACTTATTAGATCACAGATGTATTCCATCCGTTACCCTAGAATTTCATGCCATAAGCCGAGTGCTTACTTTGAGGCTTGGCTAATTGATGTAAGTGTTGGAGTAAAACTAAAAGTGTCAGTCAATATTTGAACGTTATTATTTCACGTGGTCCATCTTTATCAACAAGGTTTTTACGCCTGCGCTACATTTTTCTAAAATGATAGACGTCAATCCATCATATGACATCAGAAACGACGTAGTTTTTAATACTGTTCAAACTGTTCAAATAACATGCTATACATAAAAGAAGTAAATTTTTTCACTTCCTGTATTAATTTTTTCCACTCGAAGTTGTCCATTATGTTTACATGGGACAGACGAGACAGTTCAGTTAGGCAAATGCAACTTTGACAATGAGGTTTCTCGTCGTATCCAGCTCGGATGGGCAGCTTTCGGGAAATTACGTCGCGGGTGGCCGCAAGTAATATTTTAGAAGTGAAAGTTTTTACGTTTGTCACTCAATCACGTAAAAACTACTGAACGGATTTGGATGTAATTTAGTACGCATGTATAATGTTTTAAAGTCATAGATACGTCATACACGCTTCTAATTTGTCAATACGAAAGTCAGTTATTGCGCGACTTGCATTCAGTCGGACACCTCTCTCGCTTTTATACATTTTGAAATCGAAGACATATATTCTTCACCAAGAGGCAGTCGAATGTTGCAAAAAACTGTTGTACCTTTCTTTCATGGAATGAGCTTCATCCCGTCAGGCCTCTTGCCATCGTCACGGGAGATGCCGCTAAGCTCAAGGACCGCTGGCACGATAACTGTGACAAGAGTTCTGCAGATGACGTCATTATGCAGGCGTGGCGGAAGACTCGGCCAGCGCTCATTTGGCATGAGAGACCATGGTGACCCAACTCACTGACGCGAGTACCGCAACGACAGCGATTAGGATTATTCGTCTTGACACCAAGTCGAAGCGATATTGCCAGACACGGAGTGCTCTTGTCAAGCAAAGTCCCGATATTGGCTGAAGGTAAAGCTTGTAGCCAGTAACCAGACTCTGCCTGAAAGATCGCTAGAAGGCGCGCCCGCTCAGTGGCTTCTACTCCTGGGCATGCCCTAGTAGACTAAGCGCTTCTGGCCTCTGCAAGGGGAGCGAACTACACTTCATCCAAAGAAGGGCACAGTATTTTATTAAAGAGCTCGGCTGTACCATATGCAGAAGACAGAAAAGCGGGAAGTGAAATATGACCAGTACCTAGACCTTCTAATCGAACAAGGAGAGAGGCCTACTTCCAAGCATATCGAAAAATTAACAATTTAAAAATTTGGAGATTGCCTTTCTGAGAAAATTGTCAATAATTGACAGTCGCCCTGGAAAAATCAAAAATGAGTGCTTCGTAAAAAATATATGAACTTTGGGGCGAAATCGCAATACCGAATTAAATATAAAGCCATGTGCGGGTTAATTTTCAACATTTTTTCGGAGGAATGCTGAAATTTAGAAATATATACAATTTATTTGTATATTTTAAGTTATGTAAAAAAGTTAGTTATATCGAAATGGTGATCTTTGGACAAAATTGTTAGTACCTACATTTTTATAGATAAACTAGCTGCCCCAGCGAACTTCGTACCGCCATTAAAAAATAGGGGTTGGTGGTAGAAGGGTCAAAATTCAGGGTTGTTGTTTGTTGTATTTTTGTATGATGTATCATAAAAAAATAAAAAAAAAATTTTAGGGTGGATCACCGTCAACATTTAGGGGCAAAAATAGATGTTGTCCGATTCTCAGACCTACTGAATATGCATATAGAATTTCATGAAAATCGGTCGAGACGTTTCAGAGTTGTTCAATTACGCACACCGTGGCACGAGAATCTCTTATCTAATAGACAAGTCCGTCCGTCCGTCCGTGGTGCTGTTTCAGCGGCCAAACCGTAAGAGATAGATAAAGAGAATGTTTAAGTTATAAGTTGAGAATAGTCTGATAAGACTACAAACCGGATGTGAGTAACGTAGCACTTCCGGTTTTCGAGAAATCACGTGATTTCTATTTCAAACGAAACCACACAAAATCTCCGAAGTTCTCAATTAATTAAATACATTTTTTTTTGGTGAACATATGGTTCACTGGTTTGCTAGTTTTATATATTAGATTGCATAATGAACAATTTTTGTCTCAATTTTTTTATGTAAAACCGGTTAGATGTAAAATGCAATGCAAAAAAAAATACCGTAAAGAATACGCACGGTGCCATGTATGGGTGCGTGCGGTGAAAATCTTTACCGCAAGCTCTGTTGGATGACTCGTCATTTGAACTTTGGAACAATGTATACAACCTCCGTAAATACATTTTTTTGAGCAAGTGTATTGAAAAATTCATTACGATAAGATCAAGAGATAGATTTGCTAATGCACCACGACTGTTAAAAAATCTCCCACAAAACACTGTAGGTGCATTGGTTTCAATGTCTAATGAAATGCCGAGTATTGGATTCATGGTTCGCAGTCGCACTCCGAGAAGTTCATTAACTTTAAACTCTAAAGTCGATGTTGCCACTTTCTTTGCTTTGTTATAACAATTTCGATTTATAAATCCCTAAAGTTGCGTCGTGCGGGGAGGGTAGGCCGCATTTTGATTAAATACGTCAGTAATAAGTCATGGTCGGATGAAACATTTGTTGCAAATTTGTATCGAGACGTTTACGATGTAGTATACTACACAAGCTTGGTAAAAGCTGCTGCCTTTGTATGCGATCTTTAGAGAGAATACATCTCTACTTTGCGATAACAATAGAATGAGATAACTCGTAACTCGAAGAAGCTTTATTAAATCTGATCTTGTGTTAGTGTTGGCGCGCGATCTTGTATAGATGATCGAAGAAGGCTTGCAGGCGTTGTTCGTAGGGCGAGGCTCGCGTGGGATACAGGCTTCTCGGGCCATTTGCGTCCAGGTACAGCGGCGGCCGGCGTGCTGCCGTCTGCCATCGGCCTGCTACCAGCGGGCCCGGCATTGGGTGACTGGGGGAAGTAAACGTCATGCTTAGCTGTATTATATTGAGGTTCTCTCATACTCTTTATGTTAGAGCGGCCATACATAGATTTCTCGAGCAATTAACCAGTGATCAACATACATAGACCGCTCCCGCGGTCGGATTCGACAGCTTCGAGCAGTTTATACCAACTGTATGTGTGTACGCAGCAAAATGTAGTTCACTATGCAGTCACATCAAAACTGCATCAATCTAAGACAGTGTATGACAGCTCATAGTAAATCACAGTGTAGAGAGAGACGTAGCGGCGGGAAGCTTGCCGGCCTAGCAGCCAACCTGAATTATCATTAACTTGTCTTTGAATTCATTTGATCGACTAAACTGACAAAATTGTAAGAAAAATGATAATTATTAATTTTGTATAAACGTCGATGGTATTAAAAACGCAATGATTTCACTAAGGTTGTGGAATTAGTTCGTTACATTCGTTCTTAACAATACCAAAAATACATTGTCAAAGCGGAAAAGCATATTAATTATCAATTAAGTATAAATTAGAGTATCTATATACCTGTATCTCATGAAGTTGACGATGATGTCTGTCATCTTGTTCTTCATTTTGGCGTCGTCGTCGCGCCTCGTCAACTCGTTGGCCCTGAGCGGGCCCAGCACGGAATTTGTGCGGAATATGTACGTGAGGTCTTCAACATGATCCGCGCCTTCGAACTTCAACCCTAGCCCCTCCTTCCACGCACTGTCCACTCCATCATAGGAGAACCTGTACATGAACACCGGCGCTTCCCCCGAAGACTTACTCGCCAACTTCAACGCTGGGTACTTATAATACTGATCCGTGCACAGTCGCAAGAAGCTATCATAGTCTAGCGTGTCATTGAAATATTTATTATGCATGAGTTCGGCTAATACGGGAAGCTGGTCGCCGGTCATGAATTTGAGTCGAGGTGATACAACGAGTTCGGGCGTTTTTTCTATCTGCGCCACTATGTCGATCTGCTTGAATCTCGGCCGGAACGATTCGCATTCCGTTTCTGTGAACCCTATCAGCAAAGGAATTTCACTCCCTCGTCCGCTGTCAACCAGAACCTCGGGGTCGTCTTCTAATATCGGAGTAATCCCAGGTTGATAAGACTCCACGACAGGCGTGAATGTTGTCAGTCCGAACAAATTGATGAGCTTTTTGTTCGCTTCCATGATCTCGTTGATAGGGGCCTCGATGAGTTTCTGGTGGATCTCGTCGGCGGGAAGAGTGGCGTTGATTCCTAGTAGCGGCAAAAAGAGGCTGTTTATTGTCTTGGCGAACAGCGGTGAGGAGCTGAAGAAGTCGGAGAAAGCTGTGCCGCTTAGTAGTATTGCCCTGGAAATTATGAAAATATACATTACATTGATTTTTGTTAGATATATTAAATATTTATATAAAATAGGGATATCGATATAAAAACAAC